GTAATTGAATTACCCACTGCAGTAATGGGATTTACTCTCAAATGTACATAAAAATGCAACACAAAGTAAAATTGTTCTGCTGTGTGCTTCCTCGTCACTTGGCTTGAACTCCAGGTCAGCCAATTCCACAGAAATGCAGAGACAAAAAAGGAATGAAAGACTGAGCGATTAAAGACAGGTAGGTGGGTTCATGACCAAACACAACAGAAATCCATCCTTTAACAAAGGGGCTCTCTTTTGAAATAGTGACTCATTTGTTGTTAATCAGAAAGCCAGTCCTAAAACGTGCAAAGAAAAAGGCGTAACGGAGTGACTTACTTTTCCACGTGCAATTGTGAGCATGTGAGGAAACATTTGAGAGCTCAGGAAGCTCATCTTTGGTCTTGTCAAATAACCATAAATTTGGGGACCAAAAATGGAAGGAAAGAGAAGACGATGACAGCCAAACTCTGGGCAGTGTTCTGACTGTTGGAGTCCACTGCTGCACTGATCCCGTTTCCAGTGGCACACCCCAGGTGAAGCACAGCTTCCTCTTTGCAGTTGTCTGACTTCAAACTACCCTGCATGTGAAATGGAGGCCAGATTTCCTATTTCTAGGAGCTTCCACAAGGCACCAATTAATTATGTCAGTATCTGTGTGCTAAAATAAATTACTTAGAATTCAGTATCTTCTCGTGGGTCAAGCTTTTTGTTTGCTGTGTTCTTCCTTCTTTAACCTCTGAACCAAACAGAATTTTAGACAGACTTACTGAGAGTCAGAACTCTATGTGTCATAAGTCGATTTTATTTTCTCTCTTTCCTTTCTATCAGAAATAGATTTTTCTGTACTTGAAAAACCAGTACCTGAAATGGAATGGTACAATTGGTAAAGGTACTTGCTACCAAATCAAATGACCCAAATTTGATCCTCAGATACATGGTGGAAGAACAAAAATCAACTCCCAACTTCCATAAGCTGTCATATGACCTTCATACTTTTACCAGGTCATGTGCAAAACACACACACACACACACACACACACACACACACACACACACACACACTCGCACGTGCCACACGTATTCACTCACAAACAAAGTAATAAAAAATGTAAATAACCAAAAAAAAAAATAAGTGCTGTATTTACATGTATACCAGATGCTTCTTCAAACTACATCCTAAAGAGCTGGTGGATACCCATTTCTGTGATGCTACTAATGAGTGGGAATTAAAAACAACAGAATGCCCTACCTATAGTCAATCATGTCTTCAGGGTAGTAGAGGTTTGAAAACATAGTAATTTTCAACTAGAATTAAATCTTAAACTAAAAAAGATGCAGGGAGCATCTGTGAAAATCTCTCTGTTGCCGACAACAGCACCAAAGACACTATAAACAGCTTAGAAAATGACATATGCTCATCTGAGGATTCCAGAAAAGTTAACTTTGCAGAATATAAATTTGCAAGCAGGTGCAGGTGGGCAGAAATGGAGAAGCTTCCCTGTTAGATACTGTATTGTAATTCAATTTGTTAGACACTGTAATTTATGTTTTCAACATTATTGAACATTACACACAAAAACTTGTCACCTTGGTATTATAATTATATCCTAAGCAATTTGTCTGAGTAACTATAGCAACAACTTCAGATACATTTTATAATACTAATTTGGTACAATTTTAGAAGCAAGAATTATAGAGGATTTATTATAAAAAGTGGAAATGCTTTTCTTGAATGGCTGTACATATTCTACATCAACAATGGGCTACTTAGCTAGAACTTAATGCAAATGAATGGATTTATTCTGTATTGCACACCACATGTTCTGTAACGTAAGCCTCTTCCTGGGGGTCAGGTTCTGATCTGCAAACTCTGGAGTCCATGCTCACTCCTTTATCCCATGGAGTGTCTTGTGCCTTTGGCTGGACTCTTAGCAAAGTCCCGTCCAACCCTCCTCCACCTTCCTATATTTTATCAGTGGAAAGCCTCTATTTCAGTGACTTGGGGATTAAAAGGACATGCAGAGCCCTTAAAAATCATCATCCAGTTCATTGAAACTTTGCAATGGTTCAGCTAGTTAAGCCTTCTCTGGCATGAGAAGCAATTGATACAGTCCCTGAGAAACTGGCATCTATCTTGAGCAAGAAGCCCTCAGCAAGAGGCTAATGTGAGGATAGAGAACAATATCCTATGAGAAACTGACAGTGAGGAGGACTTGAGGTGGTCCATATGCTAAACTTGGAAGAAACGCTTATATTCATCTTAGTAGTTTTACTCTGCACTCTACATTTCTCTGTTTCATTCTCTGCAGACATGGCTAGGAAGTCACTTGAGACAGACACAAACAGGGACAAATGCCAGTTTATTTTCACCAGATTCTGAACACCTCAAACACTTCTCTGGTCAAAGACAGGCTTTCCCACCCAGAAGACCAAAGTCTTTGCGCTCAGCAGGGATCCTGCAGCTGTTTGCCATTAAGACAACCCAAAGAGCCAGCAACATCTTAAAAGGCATAAAATAATGAGCATCATCCATCCTCCCTCTGTGAGGGAAAGTATGTGTTGACTAAAGACATACAAAAGCGGATACCAGTTCATGGACTCCACGGTTGTAGGATCACACATTGTGACTACAGGCAGCATCTTGGGTGAGCCATTGTCTCAAAAGCTTTTACAATAAACAAACTCGGGGGAAAGCAAATCTGTGCTTCAAACAACTACACTTAGAACTGCCTTTTCATGCATGTAAATCAAGCATGCTGAAGAAATTTGAGTGGGCAGAAAGAAATGCACACTCCTTTCGGAGTAAACACAGCAGAGACAAGTTGCTTCAGAGGTCTACAACAGAAGGTGTCTGCTTAAGACGTGAGCCTTTAGTGGGACTGTGGACTGCTTGCTCCCAAGAGGAGCTTCACCTTCTCTCAAAAAGTGAAAAGTGGTATTAATCAGCAATCAATTCAACAATCCTAATTGGGTATTAAAAGAACGTTTGCTTCAAAATCTAGTTTTGTCTTTCTGTGCCTCCTTTTAAAAGACTAACTCTGTAATTAATAACACATCTGCTCTTCACAAACTTGGCCATTATGTCAGGGCCCTTCCAGATAAGCCTGGACACACAGCTATTTTAAAATAAATATAAATAAATAAGCTGCAATCATTTAAACACCCGGCGTTTTAACCAGTGTGCTCCTCAGGAACCGATCCTCTCTGCATTCCACGTAACTCTGGTATTTTCACGCAATTTCAATTGCCTTCTAGTCAAATCCGGTTGCAAAGGAGAAAGATGTGCAGAGACAGAGGAGTTTGTCTTCGAGGAGACCTTTCTAGTTAGAGGGCTTCCGTCCAACTTTTCTGTCGCTTCTCCTAACTAGGCCGAAAGCTCTCTATTGTAACAGAACAACTTCCTCCGCCCTTCGCCTTTCAAGGTGAAACTACTGCAAAATCTGCGTTTTACCACTGCCTGGTACATTTATTTATCCCTACCCTCTTGCCCAGGACAGAGATACCAACACGCTTGGTGGCATCCTCTGGCCTTCTCCGAAAGCTCGCTCTTGGCGCCCCCTGCCGGGGATCTTCAGGACGCCGCGGGCGCAGGAAAGTTAAAGCCCAACTCCAGGCAACCGCATCCAGGTACAAACAACGGAAAGATGAGGTGAAAGCGCTTCCCGCCAAAGCCAGGGGAACTAGGACCTAAGCGCGCAAGGCTCCTTACCAGGGACGATCGCGGGGGACCAATCCCTACCCCCAACAGTTGCTCCGAACATCCTGAGTCCCGATCTTCGCCTGGCCCCAGACCCTGAGTCCGGGTACGAAACGCATGCGGAGGAGCTGCCAGCGCACAGGGGCTCCGCGAGTGGAGCTCACCCGGCTGGCGGATCCCCAGGCCTCACCAGCCCTGCCTTAAGTCTATCTCAACGAAACAGCCTGGCGGAGTTGAGCCCCAGTCCCACTATCCCCAGATTCTCGCAAACACTGCAAAGCCCCTAAACCTAGAGCAGAAAAACGTCCCCGAGACCACAGGGCTGGGAGGTAGGCGATTCCGACTGCCAGACCTGGCTGCAGCTCCCACCATGAGAGCCTGGCTTCGCGCGGAGTGCGCGCACAGACCTCCACGCGTACCTGAGAGGTGCTGGCCGAGGTGCAGGCTCTCTCACTGTTGGGTCGCACACCCGGACACTCCAGCTCCTTTCCAATGCACGATCGGATCCGGGCAAAGGCTAGGACACAAACTTCCAGCCCGTGCACTACCTCCACTGAGACCGCCTCCGCACTGATGGTGGTCCTATTCCTACTCGCGCGGCTGCCAGGCTGTCCCCACCCAGGTGCCTGCAGAGTGACCCTAACCAAGACCTACACCACCCACAGACAGACCAGTGCTGCCCCAGGTCTAATTCACCCGCGCAGGGTCTCAGTCACGACACCCAGGGACGCGGCGGGGAGCGAGCTCACCAGATGAGGGGAGCGTTCCTCCTGCCAGTCATCCAGCGCCTGGGGCCTGGAGCGGCTCCAAGGGTCCTCTTCAGCGCGCTGCAAGGGAAGTCGAGGCAGCAGCCGCCACTGCTCCCCACCACTTCTCCAGAGCTCTCCTCCGCTCACAGCGCGCCAGGCTGGGGACCAGCTCCGCCGCCAGGAGCACGGAGTCCTCAGTTGCGCAGCTGAGCGAGCAGGCTCCCGCTGAGCGAGGGCGACCCGCAAGGTGGCAAAGTTGGGTGCCCTCTGCTTGGTAGCCGCGCGTGCGAACACCCCAAAGAAGGGTCGCACACGTGCTGGGGCGCCCCAGCAGTGAGAAGATGGGATGCAGAGGCCACCTCTTAGCAGAGACTGCAGCCGGCCAGTGGTTGAGAAGCCCACCCGCGACGGGAGCGCAGCGCCCGGGAGTGGGCACAGCGTGAGCAGCCACCGCCGGCGCCGCCTTCCCGGCGAGTAGAGCAGCGCTGGGTGCGCGGGCCGGGAGCTCGGGGCGGGGAGCACAAGG